TTGAGTCTACTTGTAAATAAGAGAATAAAGTGTTCTTGAATTGGTGGATTCGTTTTCAAGAAATTCTAGTCAAACTTTTTCCGAGAAATTTCTTTCCAACCTAATAAATCGATAATTTCTCAATCAATAGATAATTTTGAAAATGTCAGTGTCGACTTTTAAAAACAATTATACCGTATTTCCTCGACCTTCGACCGACCAGCTTTAGATGTCTCATTCTCAGCTTGATTTTGAGATGTTTTTATGTTTAACATACCAAAAGATAGCCCTTAATGTCTTCTATTTTTTGGTATATTAAACATCAAAATATCACAAAATGGGACTGAGAAAGAGGTGTCTAAAATTGGTCGAGTGGGGCGTTTATTAGAGGACTCGACCAGCTTTAGACGTCTCATTCTCAGCTTGATTTTGAGATATGTTTATGTTTAATATACCAAAAGATAGCCCTTAATGTCTTCTATTTTTTGGTGTCTTAAACATTAAAATATCTCAAAATGGGACTGAGAAAGGAGTGTCTAAAATTGGTCGAAGGGAGGAAAAACAGTAATTTGTCTGGAAAAGCTTTTAAGATGACGGAAACCATTAAATGTTCAATTCAGCTCACTTTTTGCACGAGAAAAACGATTCCTCATGAAGGTAAAGCTAGGCATAAATGAACAATACTCGATAATCTCGATTTTTGGTCAAAAATTCTTTACAGAGAAGCTGCATTTGAAAAAATCATTTTTTCTTTTTCGTGTTATCTTCTCGGCACTGAGTGTTCGCTAAAATAGGGGATTCTGAAAAGTTAAAAGGCATTAGATCATTAGGCATTAGAAATTTGCCTTAGTCACAAAGTGATTCCCTCTTCTAAGTACTTCATTTTAGGGTTTTGAATGTGACCAATTGCCTATGCATTAACCCATTAAAAACTTGTAGGCTGATCACTCTAAAGGCTGATCACTTAAAAAGTGAAGAAAGTCATTTCAGCTGAAGAAATCTCTTATTTTTTTTTACCCTGAAGCTCACTCTGATTTGTCTTTGTCATTTTCGTCAAAAACTTTTTGAAATATAGCCAAGTTTCTCAAGTTCTCTCAGAAATTTCGGAAGAATTCATGGTTTGGTTCTAGAAAAATCACCGTGAAAACTTTTTCCGAGAACTTTCCTTTTTTTTTTTTTTTCTTTCTTTCTTTCTTTCCTTCTTTTTTTCTTTCCAAACTTTCTTTCTTTCCAAACTTTCTTTCTTTCTTCCTCCCTTTTTTCCTTCCTTTATTTGAGAAAATGGTTTTTTGGGGTTTATGTTAACATTTCAACATTGCAACTCCAACAACTCAAGCTTGAGTCATGTTTTGAAGACAAAAAGCTTATCAAAGATTGCACAAGTCATTCTCATAAGACGTGTTCGGTTCCAACACATTTCTACTCACAGAAAATTCTTCCAACAATGGCAGCGCCACGTTGGAACCTCTTGCGAAATGCTTTCTTTTCCGCTTTCTTTCTTTCTTTCTTTCTTTCTTTCTTTCTTTCCAAACTTTCTTTCCAACCTAATACAAAACCAATGCTGACTTAGTTGTTAGATAAAATGACTTGTAAGCACATCTCGAGAAAAAAAAGGAAACATCTCACATTGGTTAGCCTTAGCTTTTTCTGAACCTTTAAATATTGTAGCTCCAAACATGAAAATCGACTTTTTTCTTTGTTTTTGTGGTTTTTCTGTTTTTGTTTTTGTTTCTAGACAACGAATTCTGTTTGCTTTCCGTTTTTTCGCAATTTTTATCCTTTTCGCAATCTTTTTTTGAAACTTTTAACTTGTATAAGTGTTAAAATTGATGTTCTTTTATTAAAAGCTGTGCATATTTCTGTCTACGACAACGTCGAACACAAGCCACAAGTTCTCGGGCAATAGGATCGCTTGTATTGCGATGTGTAGAAAGAGGAGGCACACAAACCGTTCGTGTTCCAGTTAGAGCAACTAAAAGTGTTGAAAATTTCGTGTCAATGGTTTTACTTAATGGTTTTAATGGTAACTCTCAAAAAACACTCATTTCCAACCTTCCTGAAGCGTCAGCACACTGAAATTCTTTTGTTTTATAAGTGATTGGTACAAAAAGCGATTGGTAAACGGTAAACGATTATCAAACGCACATTGAAACATTGATCGGTTCCCATGAAATTGTAGCAAATTTGCCCCGCTCCACAACTTGCGAAAAATGCTAAAAATGGAAAAATGGTAATAACGATTTTCTTGTGTAACGCTTTTTCTTATATTGTTCTTTATTTTGAAATTTTTCAACTGAGAAACTAGAAACAGAAAGAAAAAGAACATTCCAAATGAAGCAGAGCCCGATTTCAACAATTTTAGATCTTTCAAATTCCAATTTGAATCCCAGTGACAAAGGCTTTACCTAACTCAACTAAATAAGCTAAACTAATTAGTGAAACGCTGCCAACTCTTGCTGTCAACTAGCCGTTTCTCGTTAACATTTGAAAGATTGAATTTAATTGAATATGTCTTGGCTTTCGAGGATAAGGCTTTATCTAACTCAACTATTCAACTCAACTAAATAAGCTAAACTAATTAGTGAAACGGTTACCAGTTAAAAAAGAAAAAAATTCCGCATAGCAAATGTTCCTTATGATTAGTTTTATTGAATTTTATTGAATTGCTTGGAAATTTTGTAAAAATGCTAAAGATTTTGTGAAATTTCTAGCAATTTTCGCAAAATCTTGTATAATTCCCTTATCAATTTGACAATTAAGCCTAAGCCTTACACATACAATTATAATTAGAATTTACAATTACAAATATAATTTGCAATTACACATACAATTACAATTACAATTACAATTATAATTTCGTGGCTTTTTGAATCGAGAAATAGCCTATCTGATGCAGTTTGATTAGGTAATCTAGACTGAATACCGTAATTCAGCTAATCTTAACTGAATATCCCAATTTAGATTGAATATCCTAATTTGGATTGAATATCCTAATATTGGAACCGTATTGGAACCGTATTGGCACCGTATTAGATCAAAATAGGAAGCATATTGGAACCGTATTGGAACCGTATTGGAACCGTATTGGAAGCGTATTGGAAGCGTATTGGAACCGTATTGGAACCGTATTGGCACCGTATTAGATCAAAATAGGAAGCATATTGGAACCGTATTGGAACCGTATTGGAAGCGTATTGGAAGCGTATTGGAACCGTATTGGAACCGTATTGGAAGCGTATTGGAACCGTATTGGAAGCGTATTGGAAGCGTATTGGAAGCGTTTGGAACCGTATTGGAAGCGTATTGGAACCGTATTGGAACCGTATTGGAACCGTATTGGAAGCGTATTGGAACCGTATTGGAAGCGTATTGGAACCGTATTGGAACCGTATTGGAAGCGTATTGGAAGCGTATTGGAACCGTATTGGAACCGTATTGGAACCGTATTGAAACCGTATTAGATCAAAATAGGAACCGTAATCCAGCTATCTAGACTGAATATCCCAACCTAGATTGAATATCCTAATCTAGACTGAATACCGTAATCCAGCTAATCTTAACTGAATACCTTAAACTAGACTGAATACCCTAATCTAGACTGAGGCAACTAATTGAATACTTTTAGCTATGGGGACACCTGTCCCTTTCAGGTAAATGCAAAAAAACGCAGGCTTCCTATAGCTTTACTGTGCTAGAAAGTGTGTGTATGCATTTACAATTACAATTATAACTTACAATTACAATTACAATTACAATTACAATTACAATTACAATTACAAATTTTGCAATTTCTCAAACCGGAATCCCTAGAATTTGACCAATCTGTTTAAGAATTTGAAAATTTGAAAATTTTCATTGGATTTTAAGTCACCTAATTGTAAATACCTTGTTAAGAAGCTAAGTTTTTTAGTTTTACAAAAATAATAATAGTTTTTTTCTTATTCATGAACTGTTTTTTTTTTGATTTCACTCACGCCCTCCAGCTCCGAATTTGACATTCGAATTGGCGACTTTTGGAGCCAACGTTCCACATGTGGCTGATGTCTGAAAGCATTTAAAAATTACATTTAATTTAAAATTAAAAATTAAATCGCAGCCTATAAAAGAAAAAAGCCGAAAATAAATAAAGCGTTAATAAATTTAAACAATTTACCTGCGAAATGAAAAAGATGCCGACTGTGCAGAGGGAAAAGAAAACGGTGTTCATTTTGGAGATCGTTTTCAATCTGTTGCTTGAGTATTTTTCATGATCTCTTATATACTGACTGTTTAAAGGTCAAAGAATTTGAAACTCTTGAAATTCACGACTTTCCAGGCCCTTGTCAGCTGCTCAAACAGTTCGAAGCTTTCCATTCTCGTCATCCCCATCACCTATCCACTTTTTCAGCACATTTGTGTAAACTTTTCATTGGAATTTGTCAATGAAAAGTTGGCAAATTTATGCTTTCAGACTAACGCCAAAATTTGATCTTTTTAAAGATTGATTTTGGAGAATGATTAAAATAAATGATTTTGGGAAAAGTTTCCAATTGTAACCAATTATATAATGTTTTAAATGATTAAGAAAGAACTTGCTAACACGAAAAACAAATCGGCTGATTGTTGTTTTTCTTGTTGAGGCTTCGAATTCATGGCATTGCTCATAGCAAATGTCAGAACTGAAAATATAACCACGATTCTATCTATTAGGGTGGTGCAACCGTATTTAGTATTGAGAAGTCGTGGGCGAGCTTCTTCTCCTTTGGTGGTCGTTGGATGGGCACCAGGTCCATCGTCTTGAGGTCTCCTTCTTGAACTGAGAGTTCCCGTAAGTGAGTCTCGCTGACCATAGTAGCTCTTCCAGAAAGAAACTGCCGTATCAGCTCTCATTTATCAGAAGCGAGCGATGCTAATGGCATTATTTTTTTTATGTTTTGTTCACATATTTGTTTGCTATTTATTTCGACATTTGAATTTTTTCGTTGTTTTTTATTTTAATGCTGTTGTTGTTGTTAAAAATGCTTATATTTTTTATTTAGATCATGGCCGAGCAAAAGTTTGTGCTACGAGCAGCATTACTATCTAAATTTGGTTCCCTAACTCTCTAATTTTGGTTCCTTATCTCTCTAATTTTGGTTCCTTATCTCTTTAAAAACTTCAAAATTGGAAAGTCTGCTGCTTTCGGAGGTGGCAGTTTGTCTCACAGGCAGTGTCAGACTTGGTTTCAACGATTCCGAGAGGGAGACGAGACTTTGGAAGATTACGAGCACGGTTCGAGGCCAGAAGTCGTGAACGAAGCCAAGCTGAGGGACGTTATTCAGGCCGACGGCTCGAGCAGATGCATGCCAATCTGCTTGAGATCTTGCGAAAATATTCCATTGTGATTATGTCATCATCGAACGCCATCTTTTTTGAATCTACCGTCAAATCGGCTTTTTCTTTTGCACGACTGACGCGAGTCCACAAAGAGATTGAGCTGACGCGAGTGCACAAAGAGTGAAACACACACATCAACGTTAGAGACTCATTCTCTCGATTGAACCAAGCAATCGTTATCAAATTTCGGTTACTAGTTAGCATATACTTATAGATTATTCAGGCACCACAAGCACCACAAGCACCACAAGCACCACAAGCACCACAAGCACCACAAGCACCACAAGCATCACAAGCATCACAAGCATCACAAGCATCACAAGCACCACAAGCACCACAAGCACCACAAGCACATATGAAAATGCAATTAGAGCACAAATGACTCACTAAGAAACCATACAGACCACCTCTAGCTACCAGAAATTCTAAAAAATTCCGATTTAAAAACTTTTCTTTACAAATCTTGTATTGTTTTTAGCAATTTGACCATTTGGGTGGCCACCAAAAGCAAACAAAACATTGCATGAATCCCGTTTTCTTTCTTTTCGCTCCCTTTCTCTCAGAAACAAACAAAGAATGACATCCAGTCAATACATTGGTGTATTTCTCTCCCAATATTGATTTCCCACAACCAAAAGCAAACAACGTTTCAGCTTGTTTCAGCGTGTTTCAGCTTGTTTCAGCTTTGTGGAAATTCCATTCATGATTTGATCGACTTTGATTAGATAATGTGGCCTCTAATTGAGTATTCGTAAACTGTTTACCTTCTTCGCCATCAAAACTTCTTCACCATCATGCCCTGCTATTTTGGCTGACGTCGCAGTCAAATGTTTGTAAATGAATAAACTTTCAGTCTTTCAAAAAGTCTTCAACAACCAGGTCCTTACAATCTTTAGCACTTTTTCAGACAAAAGCTGTTGTTAAAGCCTTTCCTAATCGCCTATACAGGTTGCTGAAAAGCCCTATCTCCTTTTAAAATGGGTAATTTTCATATAAACTCTTCAGAATCCAGCTAAACGGTGTTGATTTTCAAATTCTCCATACATTTTCACATTAAGAGTCAAATTTTTAGATCTTTAGCTTTATTGGAACAATTTTATGGTGAAAAATGGGATCATAAAGAAATAATAAAAATTTGGCCATAAAGAAACACACAAAAAGCTAGAGAAAAGGCTAAAAAGCTAAAAAGCTGTCCTAGTAAAGCTAGAGATCTAAAAATTTGACTCTTAATGTGAAAATGTATGGAGAATTTGAAAATCAACACCGTTTAGCTGGATTCTTAAAAGTTTATATGAAAATTACCCATTTTAAAAGGAGATAGGGCTTTTTGAGCCACCGTGTAGAATAGCTGAAAGGTAGAATAGCTGTTGGGTAGCTAAAAGCGGACCGATTTAGGTGACAGCTTATGTGATAGATCGATTTTCAGGTGCTTGATCTTGCGACAAGGTTTTTGTGTCCTTTGTCTTGTACTCACTCTACTTTTCGGCATCATTGCTGCCATCATCGCCCCGCTGATCGCTTCGAGTTTCATCGAGGTTGAGGCGATTCAAGAAAGGCCAGGAACGGTTGGTTAACTCAATCAATCAAAATCGATCAAAATTTTGTGGAAAGAAAGTGGAATGAAACTTTAGAATGAACACGACCTCAGCTCAATCCGAATGCAGTACTATCCATTGGTGAATGGCCTTGAGGAGCAAGGCAAGGAGCAAGAGCAAAAGCCGATAGTGAGAAATGAGTATAGATGGAATGGTGAGTTGATTCGCTTTGATTAAAATTGATTGATTAAAATAATGCAATACTTTTTGTATTTGATTAGGTTGAGGAAAAAATAATGCCGGTTTTGAATTTCGGGCACAAATCCTGTGACAAGAGGTGTGCTGTGCGATATGGCTGTGCTGTTGCAAGGAGCTAGCAGAAATGTTTGATGTTCATCGAAAGACAATCGACAACCATTTGCACTAACTCCTCGGGGGAAAGAATTTGATGTGATTGTGGTTATGACGGGGAAAAAAACTAGCTGTGGGTCCCACACGTCCCACAATTGGATCCCACACGAACTGACTAAAGACAACAAAACAATTCATGTCAACGTCATTTCTTTTTACTCCATAAATGCAAAGCTGGTGGTTTTTGGGATTCGATTTTGACATTTGACTCGATTTTGAGATGAGATTAATTACGAGAATGCCAAAAAACAATGAAGCCGGAAAAACTGAAAAACCGAAAACCTATCTACCGGAAAAATTCTTAAACTACTCCCAAACCTGATGGAAAGAATAATGGAACAAAAAATAGAAAGAAAATAATGATCTGTTGCTGGTGGGATGCAGTTTGGTGCACTATGAGTTAGCTAATCCAGGAGAAAACATGATGCTGATTGATGATTGAACATTGTTGCTGATTGATGATTGAACATTGTTGCTGATTGTTGCTGATCTCTATTCGAAACAATTGACCAGAGTTAACGATGCTTTAAAGGAATTGGGGCTCAATCCATCAAAGATTCGTTTTTTGCAAGACAACGCGACAACCGCACCCTGCAAAAGCCACTCACAAAAAATTGAGGAGCTGGACTGGGAGTTCTTTCCTGCGCCTTACTCTCTTGAATTAGCCCTGTCAGATTGCTTTTTGTTTCGATCCTTGAAACAGTTTCATGGGAGAAAAGTTTGATGATCATGCTCAAATCAAAAAAAAAACTATTTTCTCTCCAAAAATCCCCAATTTTTCACAAATGGAATTAAGGACTTGGGTGAAAGATTGGAAGAAGTCGATAAGTCGATAAGTCATCGATATAAATGGAGAATACCTTACTGATTGGTAGTTGTGATTTCTTTTAGAATACAATAGAATTGTTTTCTTGTCGAATGTAGAATCGTTACACCCAAAAAAAGCACATTATCTTTTCCTCAGCCTATTTGCAGTTACCTAGAAAACACTAGAAACACTAGAAACACTTGCAAACACTTTGCATTATCTTTTATCAACATTTCTCAACAAAATTTTGAAGATAGAGCGCTCCAAGCACAGGTTGTGAGGGAAAAATTTGAACAAAAAGCTCAACAACAACTCGTCGAACAGCCACGTGAGGCTTTTCAGGCACAACGGGTGAAAATTTTAATGTTATTTTCAAAACCCAAACACTAGGCGGCCGCTTTTGCCACGTCGCTTGCACTGCACGACGCGAAACTCCGTCAGCAACAAAAAGAACTCGAGCTGTACGCGCAGCTGTACAATCCTGGATTGCTGAATGGGTGACTTTTAAGCGATATCACATAAGATTACGAACGTTTTCCAGTGAATTAGGCCCGATTGGTCCCACCGGGTTGACAATGCATGGAGGGCCGGCCGTTCACGTGGGAGCACCGCCAATCATACACAATATACGTTTGTTTTCGATTTTCGTTTACTTAACGCTTAGTTAAGAGACAAAGAAATACTACTAGATATGGTTTTTTGGCGAAATCAGATCAGATCGGATTGGATTGGGCTGGCCAGATTGGTTGGATCTATCGGATCGGATTGGATCAGGCTGGCCAGACCTATTGAGCTTGGTTGGACCTATCGAGCTAACCCGATCGGCTGGCCCTAGCGGATTGGCCCGATCGGATCGGATTGAATCGAGCTGGCCAGATTGGTCAGACCTATTGGGCTAGTCCGATCAGCCGGACCTATCGAGTTAGCCCGATCGCCCTATCAGTTTGGATCGATTCTGATCCGATAACCATGTCTACCGTCTACCACCATCATTTTGAGCATTTTGAGCATTTTGACCATCATTTTGAGCATTTTGAGCGCTACTGTATATAAGTTAGTTACTGTACAGAAAGAACTACAAATTAGCCACCATTCAAGCATCACTTTATGCATAAAAATGGCTTCATATAAAACTTTTCATTTCAGAATGGCATCAAGGGAGCCCGGAGAAAGAATGGTTGAACGCTCAAGAGGCTTCGAATCCGGCGATGCCTCCAGTTGGGTGGAGTGAGCGACAGAGTGCAATTGCTAATGGAAAAGTGATCACACAAAATAGTATTGTACGTTGGAGGGGGAATCCCGTTCCCGTGGGAGTCGGAGGAACTCTGTGAGTTAGCTAGAGTTATCTAGAAAACACTAGAAACACAGAAAGTTAGAAAACACTAGAAAGTATCTAGAAAACACTAGAAAACACTAGAAAACACTAGAAAACACTAGAAAGTATCTAGAAAACTCTAGAAAACACTAGAAAACGCTAGAAAGTTTTTCAAAAGTATTAAAGGAAAGAAAATTGGATTTAGTTGCTTTGAATCTTCATTTTCTTTTTTTTCATCTTCTTCACAGATAGAATAGAATTTCTAGCGAATAGTGTAAAGGTTTTCAGAAGAAATTCTTTTGAACTGGTGATTTCTTTTGCTGTTTTAGTTTTAATAATAAAATAGGATCAAAAAAAGTGTTAAACAAGTGTTAAAGTGTTAAAAGAAACAAATTGTAACAAACAAATTGTTAAATAAACAAATTGTAACAAACAAATTGTAACAAACAAATTATTAAACAAAAAAAGATTTCAGCAACAATCCGCAAACGAAAGACGTGATCCCTTTCTGACAAAAGCCTTTCAACGTCAACTATTTCCAAAAGTTTCCACAATTTTCCTCTCTTTTCTGTGATTTGATTAAAAACTTACTAAAAGACCTTTAAAAAAAGCTTTAAAAGCTCAATGTAAAGCTATTAAATGCTAATAAATGCTAATAAATGCTGATAACTAGCAAGTGACTTGAAAAAAAACAGTAAACAGTTTCTAAACAGTAAACTTTTCATCACTTTGTCTAGATCTAACATAAGACTGCAGCTTTTTTTGATGGATCAATCACCAGTAAATCGGGGAATCCGTGTCAACTCTTTGACTCAAATCAGCCACCATTTCCAAGAGCATTGTGTTGTTGTTGTTTTTGTTGTCAAGTTCACTAGGAAAATTGGTAAAAAGTTATAAGTAAACTTGTTTGTAATCAAATGGGATTTCCCGATTTGTAATTAAAAGTTCAATGCTCAAAACTCAAAAAGCTTTAAAGCTCGAAAAAGTTTTTAATTGACAAAAACGATGCTGGTGTAAATTTTGAAAACAATTGATTTTTGTGGATCGAGAAAAAGGCTTTTTTGAAAGTCTGAATGCCAGCGGAATCCAGCGGAATCCAGCGGAATTGCCAGCGGAATCCAGCGGAATCCAGCGGAATTGCTAGCGGAATCCAGCGGAATCCAGCGGAATTTCGGATAAAAAGTCAGCGCCTGAATTCATTATTTTGATGTTTTTCTTGTCTTTCACCAAATTCATTTCACATAGCTCTTTGAAAGGATTTGTGCATAAATTGTTGAAAGCAGAAGCTTTTTGCTGAATTAAATTCTTTACTACATTGGCATTATACGAGTTTTGACGGAGAACCGGCCATAAAAGAAACACCCCCATTTTAAAAAATTGACTATCGCAAAGAACTTAAGAAGACTTAAGAAGCATTTAACGGTTATTTCTTTCTCAATCTTATTGCTTGATTGCAATCGGGAATGTGTGTGCGAATTGCCACTGCTCTACAGTTAGTCAAAATTCAATACACAAGTTAAAGTTCAAAGTTGATGGATAAACTGCCGTAATCAGCCACTAGACGATATTCAGTTGTCCGTTTGTCGTAGCTTCTGTACTTCAAAACCCATTATTTAAACTTTGTTTTGAATCAGTCGTGTGCTCCCTTTTCTATTCATTCCTTTTTCACCCGCAAGTGTTGAAGTAATTGTGATAGTGCCAGGTTGCTCCAGTTTGAGCGAAGTTTGCCCTAATAAGGGCAAGTTTTGATAAATTGTGCGTTTTCAAGACATCTACCATTGAACCACACCGAGACACGGTCTCACAAGGAATTATAAAGATCAAAGTATAAATATACTCCTAGGTACCCGGGTACTTTAAAGCCAAGGGAATTGTCGGAAAGCTCAGTGGTGCACAGTTCAATCAACGCTCCGTCAAAGCAAAGACTCTAAAATTCGGAGACCCAGGGCAATTGCTCCCTGAGACCGTGGCGCGTCTTCGTCAGAGTCATATATTTCTTACAGAATGTATTCTTTTTTGTTTGTCTTACAGAGACTTACATCTTGTCTTACAGACAAAGAGTAAAGGTAGCTATGCGTACGGAAAAATTTCTCAATAACATTTCTCAAACCAAGTGTATGAGTGAAAACTTTTTCTTGCAGAAACTTGCAGAGAAACGCTTCATTGCTTTAAAACAAGTTCAACACGGTGCGCAATGTTGTTTGAGGTGATCGATAGTGCACATTCCTACGCAGCAACTTTCGGCGAGGCTCTTCCTTTTGCGGGATGGATAAGTGTCCCTTTTCACGCGAAAGTCGAAGCTGTCATCGAGTTCTGTTTTACTGTTACTGTACTGTTTTGTACACTCATTGCAAACCTGAAAAAAAAACATTTTAAAACTCTTTTTGTCATAGAACACGTGTCTCTGTGGACTTTGATAAATTGATAAATGCAATTTAAATGTTTTATCTTTTCCTTTCGTTCCACATCTTTTGTAGTTCTTGTAAGTTAATGAATAAACGGATTTAAATGACTTAGATTTTTACCTGTTGAAGAGCATCAAGCAGATCTCTTCCACAAAGACGCATATATTTTCCCTTACCCATCTTCGATTGACAACTCATTACGGAGATCAATCCGAAAAGAAAAAGAAGAATAGGAATGATTTTCATTGTTCCTGAAAGTACAAATGTTTAGAGCTTTATCGAGAAACATGAAGCCAAAAAAAGAATGTAAATAACATCTAAGATAATAGAAATAATACCTTAACATGTTTTAAACTTGTGACTGAAAAAGACTTTTTCAATATACTAGAGTAAAAATAAATGGTCTTATTGGTAGTGGGGAATTTTAACTAACAAACGATCAGCTCTGGCTTTATATATCATCTGTGACCTCAATTGTTTAAAACAACGACGATGTGTCATGGTTTATAAGTTTTTTTTAGTGAAACTCAAAAGGATGTCTGCTGCCGGCTTTCTCAATAGACAGAAAAATATAAAGAGAGAAATTGCTTGATTGGCAAAACTTGCAAAATCTCATTTATAAAGAAGTTATTGCAAAGTTATTGTTGATTTCACAGGGAAACTTGATGCAATATGTACTTTATGTACTGTGTACTTTATGTAATATGTACTTTAAACTCCATTCTGTACAAATAAATCTTGTAGAAAAAAAACAGGAATATTTTTTGAATATCTGAAATGATTGCTCAATGGAATTTACCTTAAAAACAAAACTAAAAACAAAACAAAAGCAATTCTCAATTCTCAAGTAATCCTTTCTCAAGCTTTTGTCAATATAAAAACACAAGCAATGTGTTGGAGATTTTTGTCTGACTGATGACTGATGCAATCTGATTGATGCAATCTGATTGATGTAATTGGTTTTCTGACTGATGCAATTATGCAATCTGACTTGGTTTCAACGATTCCGTGAGGGAGACCAGACTTTGGAAGATTGCGAGCACGGTTCGAGGCCAGAAGTCGTGAACGAAGCCAAGTTGAGGGACGTTATTCAGGCCGACGGCTCGAGCAGATCTCTGCCAATCGGCTCGAGATCTTGCGAAAATATTCCATTGTTGTGCAGAAAAGTGGTTCTTTTCTGTGAAATCTTATTTAATGTTTTGATTTGAATGTCTGGTTTTCTTGTCCCGTCTCTGAAAGATTGCTTTTAAGATAAAGGGACGGATAAAAGGGTCGGAGCCCACTTTACATTGGCACTTTTCATATTCTCTCCGTATTCCTTTCGTATTCCTTTTGTATTGCCATGAAACACTGAACCAACGATTAATCCTATTTTATTGTATTTCTTGCTAGATTCAGAATAAATATCTAATAATCAACGCCCCTATCGGTATTCTCGCACGACATTGCACAATTGTAATCATGTCACCATCGAACGCCATCTTTTTTTTGAATTTACCGTCAAATCGGCAGTTTCTTTTGCACCACCCTAATAGTACTTCAAAGTTCAGAGAATCAGAGATTAGAGATTTCAGAGCTTCAAAATAACAAAATCTTGATGGAAAGCTCAAAAATTCTAGGTTTATCTTGAAATTTGCATTAAAAAGTACAGTACAAGATTACGCTATCCAATTAGAATCAAGCTCAAAGTCTAGTTTCTAGCTCAATGTCAGTGCTAATGAACTCTTAAACAAGCTGCAGAAGTACCGTGATACTGTAGACTTTAACCCGTTTCCTAAAAGAAATCCTCTTTCTGAAAACTACAGTAGTGTTGTCTCTATTTCTATCCTTATTTGCAGATTGCATCAGTCAGATTGCATCATGACTGATGCAATCTGAGTGAAAGTATTTTTGCAATCTGACGATTGCAATCTGATGGCAGTAGACATCTTTCTGCGTTTCACGAAAAAAAACTTATAAACATCACATCGTCGTTGTTTTAAACAATTGAGGTCACAGAATGAATATATACAGCCAGAACTGATCGTTTGTTAGTTAAAATTCCCCCCACTACCAATAAGACCATTTAGTTTTACTCTATTGTATTGAAAAAGTCTTTTTCAGTCACAAGTCTAAAACATGTTAAGGTATTATTTGTATTGTATTATATTTGTATTATATTAGGTGTTATTTGCATTCTTTTTTGGCTTCATGTTTCTCGAGAAAGCTCTAAACATTTGTAATTTCAGGAACAATGAAAATCATTCCTATTCTTCTTTTTCTTTTCGGATTGATCTCCGTAATGAGTTGTCAATCGAAGATGGGTAAGGGAAAATATATGCGTCTTTGTGGAAGAGATCTGCTTGATGCTCTTCAACAGGTAAAAATCTAAGTCATTTAAATCCGTTTATTCATTAACTTACAAGAACTACAAAAGATGTGGAGCGAAAGGAAAAGATAAAACATTTAAATTTCATTTATCAATTTATCAAAGTCCACAGAGACACGTGTTCTATGACAAAAAGAGTTTTTAAATGTTTTTTTTTCAGGTTTGCAATGAGTGTACAAAACAGTACAGTAACAGTAAAACAGAACTCGATGACAGCTTCGACTTTCGCGTGAAAAGGGACACTTATCCATCCCGCAAAAGGAAGAGCCTCGCCGAAAGTTGCTGCGCAAGAATGTGCACTATCGATCACCTCAAACAACAATGCGCACATTGTTGAACTTGTTTTAAAGCAATGAAGAGTTTCTCTGCAAGTTTCTGCAAGAAAAAGTTTTCGCTCATACACTTGGATTGAGAAATGTTATTGAGAAATGTTTCCGTACGCATAGCTTCCTTTACTCTTTGTCTGTAAGACAGGATGTAAGCCTCCGTAAAACAAACAAAAAAGAATACATTCTGTAAGAGATATATTTATACTCTGATCTTTATAATTCCTTGTGAGATCCGTGTCTCGGTGTGGTTCAATGGTAGATGTCTTGAAAACGCACAAATTTATCAAAACTTTCTCTTATTAGGGCAAACTTCGCTCAAACTGGAGCAACCTGGCACTATCACAATTACTTCAACACTTGCGTGTGAAAAAGGGATGAATAGAAAAGGGAGCACACGACTGACTCTTAAAGTAATGCTTAAAAGTAAAGTAATGCTTTAAAGTAATGCTTCATTACTTTAAAACAAGCTTAAATAATGGGTTTTGAAGTACGCAAGCTACGACAAACGGACAACTGAATATCGTCTATTGGCTGATTACGGCAGTTTATCCATCAACTTTGAACTTTAACTTGTGTATTGAATTTTTATTAACTGCAGAGCAGTGGCAATTCGCCACACATTCCCCGATTGCAATCAATCAATAAGATTGAGAAAGAAATAACATTTAAATGCTTCTTAAGTTCTTCTTAAGTTCTTGTTAAGTTTTTCGCGATAATCAATTATCTTAAAGGGTACGGATCGAGGCCAATTCTCAGCATAAGAGATAAATGAGAGCTGATACCCATCGGCAGTTTCTTTTGCACCACCCTAATAGATAGAATCGTGGTTATATTTTCAGTTCTGACGTTTGCTATGAGCAACGACATGAATTTGAAGCCTCAACAAGAAAAACAACAATCAGCCGATTTGTTTTTCGTGTTAGCAAGTTCTTTCTTAATCATTTAAAACATTATGTTTCTCCAAAATGATCATTCTCCAGAATCAATCTTTCAAAAGATCAAATTTTGGAGTTAATCTGAAAGCATAACTTTGCCAACTTTTCATTGAGAAATTCCAATGAAAAGTTTACACAAATGCGCCGAAAAAGTTGAGAGGTGATGGGGATGACGGGAATGGAAAGTTTCGAACTGTTTGAGCAGCTGACGAGAGCCTGAAAGTCGTGAATTTCAAGAGTTTCAAATTCTTTGACCTTTAAACAGTCAGTATATAAGAGATTATGAAAAATACTCAAGCAACGGATTGAAAACGATCTCAAAATGAACACCGTTTTCTTTTCCCTCTGCACAGTCGGCATCTGTCAATTCTGTCAAAGAATGATTCTGTCGAGAGGTTGGAATCTCTGAACTTTGAAATATTATAAAAAGATGTAACACTGTGTTTCTAAACTAAACATTGAAAGTGAATGCAGTAATTAACTTGAAATTTCATAGAAATACATTAGGGGAATTGAATGATTGGGTGCCGAGTTAGAGTCGAAAAATCGAGTTTCGATAATTGAAAAAACCGAATTTCCATTTCAACCCTGTAGAAGAACAAAGGACAGAGGACTTTTTTTATATGCTCAGAATATAATAAGTAAACTTGTTTATTTAGTGGTTAATCAATTGAAAACAATGCAAAGGATGCAAACAATGCAAAGAGTGAGTTATCGAAGATCCTATTAAGGAACTTTTCGCTTGCAGAAGACAGCGAAATTCAGCGCCCTTTTCTCCATGCTGAACCACGCTCCATTGGTGTCAATCTGAAAGAAAAGTTTGCAGAAAAGTTTGCTGCTAATGTATTGAAGGGTTTTCTTTCATATTACTAGCTTCATCAACTAACATATGCCCAATTCCATCCAGTTGAGCTTTCCCACGGCTCACCAACGGCCCATCTCGTGTAATCCACCTCACTTCCATCACTCCATTCCCATGCCCGATTCTTTGAGTGAAGCTTTCTCTAAATTGATAATAAAAACAAATTTAAGCATGAATTTAAGTTATACTCTCAGCTGTCAAGCTCAGCTGTCAAGCTCAGCTGCCAAGCTCAACTGTCAAGCTCAACTGTCAACCTCAACTGTCAAATGACTGGCTAAAACGGCTTCGGCTTAGGCTCTCAGCTTAGGCTTGGCACTAAGAATTGCGCTCTGAAATCCTACAGCAAAGTTTTCAGTGTTTTGACCTGAACCCAGTTTATCTCTGCTAAAAAAATGTAATATTGGCATTTCAGTGCGCACTTTCGAGTGCTTGAAGGTACTTTTGTGTTACCTGGGAGAAGGAACTATTATCTACGGGGGATTTCAGGGAAAAAAATTAGCTAGACGGGATGTTAATGGCAAAATAGACTTTTTATGGTCACGGATCATTTCTGATGGATGATCTTTTATGGCTTGCTGGCTATCTAAGGCTTGCTTCTCATCCCGAAAACTTCAATTGGGTCAACCACACAACAAACTTCGCCGATCCCGTAGATCCAAACAGTTCACACACAACATATTGAGCTTGAGAGCTACAGCCTAAGAGCTACAGCCTAAGAGCTACAGCCTAAGAGCTACGGCCTAAGAGCTACAGCCTAAGAGCTACAGCCTAAGAGCTACAGCCTAAGAGCTACAGCCTAAGAGCTACATCGCTGAGGAAATCTGAAAGAGGAAATGCATTCGTCCGGTTTTCGTCATATTTATATTAAGCTATGAGTCATTTTCGCGCGTCGTGTACAAAAATCCTTTTGAAAGGTTATTTTAGCCGATCATTTGACAAGTACGCTCAACAAAAAGTAACTTTTCCCTACCCTCAAGCCGATCCACGACATTCGATCTCTTTCACATGATGTTGAGAACGTTGTTTCTAAAAGTGAAGTCAATTTATCCCAAAGAGTTCAACTGTTAATGAAACTAGAAGCTAGAAGAGAACTAATAAGCCTATTAGTTGAGCATTATTGTTTTCTTTTAGTTAAAAATTAGACATTGATCATTTTAGCCTAGCTAGAAGCCTTGTTAATCTCCTAGCTAGAAGCCAGATAATTTGAGGAAAGATTTTGCATAACATTGGTTGTACTTGCTTTCTGTGAAAAGCAAGTTCAACCAATTGTTTGAAAAGTACAACCAATTGTCTGCAAGTACAACCAATTGTACAACCAAAACCAAACAATAACCTACCGATCACAAAATCGTTTTCTTTTTTATCGTGAATCGATACAAGATTTGCACTCATTTTCTTGCAAATCTTTTCAGCTTTCTCCCAATTTGTGTTTGAGGCAAAGACTTTCTGAAAATACATTTGTTTTCTTAGAAAAATCTAGAGAAGCAATAAGCGGCTTATTTGTTGAATATCATTGTTGTTTTTAGTTAAAAGTTATACTCATTAAGCGATCATTAAGCGACTTTTTTAGTTGAACAAAAATTTAGGCTCTTAGGCTACAGACGTTTCTAACCTACAGATTAGAAACGTCTGTAGGTTAAGATTTAAGAGCGTCGCCTAAATTGCTCGAAATCTCGAGAACCGCTTATCAGAACCGATCGATGTGGCGTCGGAAAATGTAGCTGACGATCAGATCTTGACGATGATTAGACTCTTGAGCTTCTGCAAAAGCTTGGAAACCGTAAAATCGTCATCAACTCGGCTCGCACTATTAGAGAAAACTCATCTTTCAGGTCTCCAATATCAACTCTACGGGAAAACGGTTTCCGAGGGTTTACGGGGCGGTGTTTTGCCTGGGATTCTCGGATCAAGTCTGGTCGGTGAGTTCTTTCAAGTAATCCTCAATCAAATCATAACGCTAACAACTTTTCCATGATAACACGATTCTATTAGGCTATTAGGCTATTCAAGGAAGTTCTTAGATCGATCGCTCATCCCAACCTAAACTCTTAACGTAAATGCTTGGCCATTTACCGTATTCTCTCTAATAGTAGTGCACCATAAGCTTTGCTTAAATTGCTCGAAATCTCGAGAACCCCTTATCAGAACCTATCGATGTGGGGTCGGAAAATGTAGCTGACGATGAGATCTAGTGGGGGATTAGAGTGTTGAGCTTCTGGGAAAACTTTGGAAGCCGTAAATAGTCATCAACTCGGCTGGGTGCACTACTATTAGAGAAAATACGCTAATTTTGTTGACAAAAACTTTTCAGATCAGCAAACTTGTTAACAAACTGTATAGCAATGTCCGGAGAACTCCTTCCACTCATTCGGACACCGATTTGCCGATGACAAGTTGAGAGTTGCAAGAATTAGAGTGCCTAGAAAGAGCATGAAGAAAAATCGATGAGTTTTGCTTTTGTTGAAAGGGACAAAGTTTGTCTCAGCGTCAAATTGGGATCATTTTGCAATCACAATGTAAACATTTCTCGCTGTAGCTACTTCTGTTCTTTTTGAAACTTGTCAACAGTTGAGAATCAATCGTCAACCGTTGCAGCTATCTTTGTTCTTTTCTTTTCCTGTCGCGATGCTCCAATCATCTAGTTGATTGGAGTTTTCAGCATTGTTATATCGTCTTAAAGTTGAGCATTTTGAGTTACTTGGTACTCAAGTCATCCGTGCCAACAAAAGTGTTCAAAGAGATGCTGAATCTTTGGCGTTTTTTTGGAAATGGCCGGCCGAGCCGGCGCAGCCCCCCCACCGCCCCGCAAGCCGTGCCGAAGCCGTGCCGAAGCCGTGCCGAAGCCGTGCCGAAGCCGTGCCGAAGCCGTGCCGAAGCCGTGCCGAAGCCGTGCCAAAACCGTGCCAAGCAACTCCTGACTACAAATTTCGGTTCTACAGGCTCATCAAAAAGTTCCTGAACAACTTTTTGTAAAAGCAGCCAAATGTTTAAATTATTTCAAAAACGATAAGTGTTAAATAGAGATTTGAAGCCCTAATTCTTGGCTACGTTTATCTAAGAAAAATCGCTGAATTGGATGCATACAACTCGTGTGACAAGCTTTTGAGTGAAAGTGTCCATTGGGAAATGGTCAGATTTCGAAAGCGATTTCGAAAGAATTCGAATCAAAGTTATATGACTTACGCAAGTCGGATACGGGCAACACGATCACGTTTTTAGTTTTTGCTCATACGCTCTAGATTTCTGTAAAAATGCATTTGAAATTTGACCCCCCTAGTTCAACTTTTGAGTTTTTAACGGCTACCATCACCCAGGGAAAAAATGACTCGGTGGTGCAGTGGTAGTGCTTCTCGCTGCCTCCGATTTTTCCCATCTGGGTTCGATTCCCCTTGGATCAGTTTTTTGCATTTTTATTTCAATGTTTTGAGCACAGTAAAGCTGTATTTTGAGTCGTTTTGAGTATTGCATTATTTCGCAAGCTTCGCAGGACCCCTTGCGGTCCTGCGAGTGGTCCTGCCGAGGCCAGAAGGGGTCCTAAAGATGGCCATTGGGTTTGGGGTCCTAATGTGGACTTTTTGCTTTTTTAGAAGCTTAAATAGCCTAGATAGATAGGCTAGTCAAAAAGCGATGATAAGTTAACAACATTCTCTAGTCAGATCTTTCTGTGCTTTCGTGCCGACTTCTGCGTCCTTCCAAAGGATCAAAAATTTTGATAGTTTCATAATTCCCCACTTTCTATGACATCTCTTCTCTCTTCTTTCTTCTCTCTTCTCTCTTCTCTCTTCTCTCTTCCCTCATTTCTCATAAATGATAAACAATAATTTATTGGAGATAGAAAAGAAATCTTTGAACTGAAAAGAAATGGACTTTGTTCAGGGTTGTCGAGAAAAAATGAAAATTTAAGAATGCGCAAAATATCGACAAATAAAAGACTTAAAAAATGAACGAGAAGAAAAAAGAAATCACAGAGAAAATAGAAAATACACGTGCTTTTAAGGAAAAATAAAAAAAACAAAAATCAAGAAAACATTTGAAAGCTTGACACCTGAATATTATGATATAAGCTCAGATTGAGAAGTTATATTGTGGAGAAATCTATCTTTCGAATTTAATCCTCGATGATGGGCGGCTCGATGGGCGGCTTGATGGACTGTTCGATAGGCGGCTCGATGGGCGGCTTGATGGACTGTTCGATGGGCGGCTCGATAGGCGGCTCGATGGGCGGCTTGATAGGCGGCTCGATGGGCGGCTTGATGGACTGTTCGATGGGCGGCTCGATAGGCGGCTCGATGGGCGGCTTGATAGGCGGCTCGATGGGCGGCTTGATGGACTGTTCGATGGGCGGCTCGATAGGCGGCTCGATCGGCCGCTCGATGAAACCTTGGTCCTCGTTTAGACCGGGCATTTCGCCCAGCGCTCGATTCTTCCGGCCCTTTCGATCCGATGACCATCGGGAAGAGCTTCCGTTCTGAAATTTCAAATACCGTAAATATTCTAATAGATGAGCTATAGGATCGCATAGTCTAAGTTTACTCTGAAACAAACGCTCATATCTCAGCAGCAATACGTTTATTTCTGCATAGGTATCAAATTAAAGTAGAGAAAATGGGAAAAAGTTATTGACCGAACTTATTGCATTGGCAATAAGCATTGGCAATCTTTTCATTTTTCGAAAGATATATCAGCGCCGCTTTCATTCCGAATTGCTTTGCTTTTCACCCAAACATTTGAATATTTACGGTAGAATTGCAATAAAGATAATGCTTTACGATATTACGAAAGATAATGCTAAAATACATCTTTCACAAAAAAACGAACCACATCAAGACAAGTCGAATCATCGAGTTCCGACGAGATGTAATCGTGCTGTCGAATGGGTGCATCACTTTCAAAAACATTGTCATCAGTGATACTTGGTCGAAAACCCTGATTCATCTCCTCCATTTCCAGCATCACCTAAACATTACAATAGTTTCTGTTCTTTCATTTCACTTCTCCCACTTCTCCCACAGAATTTCGAAATTTCCGAGGCGAAAGCGCAGATGATGGCTCTTCATCGTTGCCCATTATCAAGCTGTTGATCACGTGCGATTTCTAAAATTTCATTTGATTGATTGATCCATTTAAGCGATAAAATGAAGCAATAACAGTGACTTTTTCTCTTTTTTATTTAAACTCTTACTTCTCTAAACGAATCGGAGGCTTTATCGACGAGATTGTGAACCAGTTGATGGAAAGATGGCCGCTCTCTCGGATCATATCGCCAGCACGAAGCCATTAGATTATACCTAGCAAAAATCGATTTACAAACCAAGAAATGAAATTCTTCGTCACCAAAAATCCGGACAATCTATTGGCTTTTTCAAGATCTTTCGCGAAACACCGACGTAATTGAAAATCTCATCGTTGGCAAGTCCTTGATAGGGTTGCTGAGCCAAGGTCAACATTTCATAAAGCACAATTCCGTAGGACCTGGAAAATTTGCTTGTGCACATTCCAGATTTCATGATTATGATCCCAGATTTCATTACCAAATATCGCTCTTCAAGGTGAACTTTCCGTCTTTCAACGATTCGGGAGCCATCCATCTGAAAAAGTACCGTAAAAACTCTAATAGACTCGAGTAGAACTCTGATAGAACTCTAGTAGAACTCTAGTAGAACTTTGATAGAACTTTGATAGAACTCTAATAGAACTCTGATGGACTCTAATAGACTCTAATAGACTCTAATAGAACTCTAATAAACTCTAATAGACTCTAATAGAACTTTGATAAAACTCTAATAGAACTCTAATAGAACTCTGCTAGAACTCTGCTAGAACTCTGCTAGAACTCTAGTAGAACTCTGCTAGAACTCTAGTAGAACTCTAATAGAACTCTAATAGAACTCTAATAGAACTCTAATAGAACTCTAGTAGAACTCTAATAGAACTCTAATAAACTCTAATAGAACTCTAATAGATATAAAGTCCCGGGTTTTCTATTAGGATTCGAAATGTCGCTTGTTTTTGCCTTGTTTTTCTATCATAATCAATTCTATTAGCGCTTTTACGGTATTTTATCTCCTTTTCTTTTACCTGATCGGCATCATTCTCTTTCCAGTTGGTTTATAATATTCTTGATAGTAGACATCGCGAGTCATTCCGAAATCCCCGATCTTCACCGTTTCATCGCCTTGCACCTAGAAAATTCACTTTGAGAGCCACTGTTGATTAGAGTCTTTTCCTTGCGAGTCTACTATCAGTCTACTATCACGAGTCTACCATCAGTCTACTATATTACTCGAATAGAACCTGCATAAGTAATTTCTACTCGATTAACCGGTATTGGAACAAATGCTACCTTTTTTGCGCATCCGGACACATTGGCGCACCTTTTTTCGCGTAGAAAAAGCTCTAAAAAGCTCTAAAAAGCTCTATAAAGCTCTAAAAATCTCTAAAAACCTCTAAAAACCTCTAACAAGCTCTAAAAATCTCTAAAAAGCTAATATTAATCAATTTCTATTCCAAAAGTTGTTTTTCTGGGTAATTTTAGGGCCTAGAATCCAAATTTTGACATATCAGAGCGCCAAAACGATGCGCTAGTGTGCCGGGTGAGCAAAAGGAAAGGTCGCATTTGTTTCACTCTTGGTTAACCGACGTTGGTCGAGTAACTACGAGGAATCCTCTTTACACGTCGAGTAAATTGAATATCTTTACATTTGAAGGGAATTTCCCAACAAACCATGCAATTCCTGGCCGCAAGATCTCTGTGACAGAATTTGAGACTCTCAAGGTAGGCCATTCCATCGGCGATCTGCGAGGCCCACTCGAAGTACTGAGTCTCCGCGGGCACTGGCAGATCTTTGGTGTTCTCTTCAGCGCCCGGTCTTCGTGAACGCAGAAAATCTTTCAGATTTCCCTGTAAGTTTTTCTTTGCTTTATTTGATGCTATCCGGTTCTACATCCCCATACCTTAATAAGGGAATGAGAAATTTCGCCATAAGGCACTTCGCCATAAATATGTAGTCACATGTACAACTTGAACTCCCAACAGTAATACTACGCTAACTCCAGCACTAATATTCTTCAGCGAAATGTCCATTCTGATAAGTAAACATGATAGGTAACTGACTAGACATTGAAATAACTGTGTTTCGGTGCAGTAATGCCGGGAAGTGTCTTACAGCAAAGTGTCTTACAGCAAAGTGTCTTACAGCAAAGTGTGTTACAGCAAAGTGTCTTACCAAACCAAAGGAAGTCTACTCAGCAGGGGTATTCGCCTAACGGCAAAGTCTTACAGCAAAGTGTCTTACGGCAAAGTGTCTTACAGCAAAGTGTCTTACAGCAAAGTGTCTAACGGCAAAGTGTCTTACAGCAAATTGTCTTACGGCAAAAAGTCTTACAGCAAAGTGTCTTACGGCAAATTGTCTTACAGCAAAGTGTCTTACAGCAAAGTGCCTTACAGCAAAGTGTCTTACGACAAAGTGTCTTACGGCAAAGTGTCTTATGGCAAAGTGTCTTACAGCAAAGTGTCTTACTGCGAAATGTTGTAAAATCTTAATAACTATCTAGCTTAAACCTATAATATTGTTTTATCTACTAGTTGTTAAGGTTGAACTAGTTGTTAAGGTATGGGATGTATAACCGGATAGTATCTTGGTGGGGGCTACCTTTATCAGCATCTATTTATCATTTCTTTTATAGGGTTAATGCACATGCTATGGTAGGCATTTTTAAATAGATAATTGTTAAGGTATGGGGATATATAACCTTAGTATTGTCTATAACCTTAGTATCCTCTAATTTTTCCCTGCTTTTCTTTTACCTTTGACATCATTTCCATCACCACCAACACCGGTTGCCCATCGGAGACAACTCCATAAAGCTTGACGATGAAGTTTGTGTTGAATTGCTTCATCACAGACGCTTCTATAAGCTTTTATGGCTATAATCTATAAGCTATAATCTATAAGCTATAATCTATAATCTATAATCTATAATCTATAAGCTATAAGGATTTGTATCCTTTAAATTGTAGATTTTTGAATAGTAACGACAACAAAGTTTACCGAGTAGGAAATGAAATCGATCAGAAGCTGAAGTTGTCCCGGTGACGGTCTTAATAGCACAATCGCCGAAAATCACTCCGCATAATGATTTCACTTGACGAGCATGACCTCGGTAGACCTGAAAATGCAATAATATGAAATTTTATATGAATATTATCTATACTTTTCCGAAAGATCCACTTCCGATCTCTTCTTCCATATCCAAGTCTTCCCTTCGCAACTCCCAGGCATCCTAGAATCTCTCTATCTCTAAAAAACTCGATTCTCTCATACTCACTTGTTTATAAACTTCCAGTTGTGAAAGATATTCCGGATTTGCGGAGACATGTCGCACGAATTCACCACACTAAACCCAAATTGTTGATTCAAACGCCATTTTGAATCAACAACAAATCGTTTGCTCACTTGTTTTCCATAATATCTTTTCATGATCGACCAGATTCCCAAAATTCCGACTGAAATCAGAATAACGAGAATGAATAAGCCTAAAATTTATAGATTTTATAGAAAATCTTTTTTTTAAACTGATGAGTAATCGTTTCCAAGTGAACCACGATCGGGCATAGACATCAATCATTGCTTTCGGTGAAGACGGTTGAGAGATGCTAGCCAGTGACACGGTTCGGATCTCGATCTGAAAATCCTTTCGTTTTGAAATTTTGATTTCTTAGCTTTTATTAGTTAGACCAGCCAAAAAATGTGCCTAACGGCGGGTTTTTTCTCGCTCGATGTTTTCGGCTTGACGTTGACGGGCTGACGGTTTTATCTTTCGAGTTAAATGGCGCTCGGCGCGACTAACGCCACGTCTCACGCTTTGCAACAATACTGGGATCACAAAGATATCTTAATCCTTAAAAGCAATAACGAGACCAACCCTCCGCAGCAATAACGACATCTATATTGGGTGCGCTCGGCGGAATGATGCGCTTCCCGCTCCCCTCCTGTGACCCCTGTAACAATACCTTCGCTCTGAGGCAACCCAAATTTGCATACTTCAACTTCATGCTTGAAAAATCTAAGTTTGGAACAGACGGGAACAGAAAAAAGTTTGGAACGGACAGGAATCGAACCCGACACCCCCATAGGGCAATCGTTTTGTAGACGGGACGCTAACCACCTTGGCCACGCCCCCTCTCCTCCCAAGCGCCACCGAAGGCAAAATGAGACATGGCTAAATGGTTTTTCTGACTTTTTTTTACGGTTTCCGGATGCGTTTCTCATATGCTAATTGCTAGTCAGCTCAAACTGCGTCGCCGTGGTGCAGTCGAGAGCGCGCTTGTCTACGGGACACATGATCTGGGTTCGATCCCCCCTAGTGCCACTCAATTTTGACTGTTAAAATTTTTTATTTTAAATGGCACAACTGCAATATATTCTAAGGTTTTCTAAAGAGGTTTTAGCCTTATTGGGCAAAACATGACCGGGAAAATGCCCGCATAGACAGGCAGACAGACAGAGAGAGATAGACAGACAGACATACAAACAGACAAACAGACAGACAGACAGACAGATAGATAGACAGACAAACATACACTGCTTTTTTATATATAGTAGATTCCTAATCATAATGTATTGCTGTGTTCTTGTATAATCTCTTGTATAAAAATCAATAAGAAAAATTTTTCAGACTCAAACCGATGATCACTTTTGTTTCGGACACCCTGTGATGTCCGCTCTAGAAATCCGTCCAATCTAGAGCGATTCTAGATTGGACGTTCAATCTAGAGTGAAGTGAGGTCAACGTCCGATTTAGAATCAAGCCGATCACTTTAAATCTAAGTCTGCATCGGACGTCTGAGTTAGAGTGATCGATCGATTGATTGATTGATTGATTGATTGATTCAAAATCGGACGTTTGACCTCACTTCACTCTAGATCGAAAGTCTAATCTAGAATCAGTCTAGATCGGACGGATTTCTAGATCATAACATATATAGTAGATATTTCTTAAAGTTACCTTATACGTTCCATCGGGTAAACCCGGAAACAACCACCCGCCGCCGCTCTCGTTGTACTGCGATCGACTCATGCATTGATCGAAAGCGTGCTGAAATACTTTATTGCTTTCCGCTTGCTTTCCGATTTCTTTAAGACTTTAGAGACTTTAGCAACACTTACCGCATTCTGTAGTTGATTCTCTAAACGAATCCTGTATCCAAGGATTAACCCATTTGGATCAACCGGCTCATCCCATTTCACTTTCACATCGTTCGTTATTTCATTCATCACTTCAACGAGAATCGTGTCGTTTTTCACCAAATCGTATTCAGCTAAAGTTTTTTGCTAGTAAAATGTAAAAGAATTTTAGATTTAGATTAAAAGAACTTTAGATTTTAGTAAGTTCACTCACGAATTGGCTTTGTTCGAACATTTTTCCACGAGCTGGTGCATGAGTTCTCAGCAACGCTCACATTTTGACAAGCAACAATCGAGATCTAAAAGCCATTTTCTAAAGCTGAAAGCCATTTTAAAGTACAGGGTGACCAGAAATAACGTTGCGGCCTAATTTAGCCTATTTTTTAAAAATCTAAAAAATTTTGTAACAGAAACATTTTTTTTATTAACAACAGATATAAAGAGAGTATAAAATCTACTTTTCTTCAAAGTGGCCACCTTTGGCTCCGATGCAGAACCTCAAACGCTTGATGAAGTTTTCGAGGATGGGCCGCAGCTCGGCCGGAGTGATTCGATCCCATTCCCTGGTCAACGATCGCTTAAGAGCCTCCAAACTTTTGTGGGGTTTTGCACAAGCCCTTGCCTCCAAAATTGACCAAACACTGTAGTCCAACGGATTGAGATCACGCAAATACGGAGGCCATTCCTGGGCCGAGATGAAATCCGGAAAGTTTGTCCTACACCAGTCCTGTGTGGATTTGGCTTGATGAGAAGGAGCTGAGTCTTGTTGGAAGGTCCAAAATTCGTTACCAAAGTGCTGTTGAGCCCATGGAAGCAAAACATCCTCAAGAATCTTTTTTGGTACACATCCTTATTGATTTTCACCCCGGAATCAATGAAAATGAGAGGGAGTTTTGCCGGTTGCGCAGATTCCGGGCCATACCATGACCGATTTGGGATTTTGTCGGTGTTGAACAACCGCAGAGCTGCCTGGAGAGGACGTTGACCAAATACGATCGTTTTGGCGGTTGTAGCTTTGCTCCACCAAGAAGAGCTTCTCGTCAGAAAACAGGATTCGCTCCCAGTGTGAAGTTGCGGCCCGCTTGAGAAGCTCTCGACATCTTTCGAGTCGAACTCGTTTGTTGTTGTCGTCGAGTTGTTGCCCTTGCTTGAGCTTGTAAGGGTGAAGATTGAGCTCATTTTTGGCCATAAGTCGAACCGATTCGCGAGCGATCCCCGTCTATCGAGCGATCTTTCTCATTGAGACCTGTGGATTCCGGGCCACGCGCTTCTGAATCACTTTGCGATTTCTGGAGGTGTTGACAGTTCTTTTTCTGCCTCTTCCTGGACGATCTCCATCGTTGCCAAGCTCCTTGTATCACTTAATCGCTTTTGAGATGAGCTGATGAGAAACACGTAGCAATCGCGCGATCGCACTCAAGCATTGACCTTGACGATGAAGCTCCAGAATCGCAGATCCCTTGTTTGTCATCCTATAAAAAAATAAATAGACTTGAAACAAAGTAAAACAACAAAGAAACTAATAAAAACAATCACAGAGAATAGGTTAAAAATAAATCTGTCTCCCAAAATTGAAACTATGAGGATTTTAGGCTGCCGAAAATCCCGCAACGTTATTTCTGGTCACCCTGTATTATACCCGATAGTTTCCAAAGTGGGTGAGATTCTCAATCTTGAATCTTGTGCCAGTGACATTTTTCGATCGAATAATGTAATCCCAAGTGGGGGAAGTCTCTTGTGAGTGACTCGACGCAAGCAATACTGCCGATCGTTTAGACGTTTGCTAAAAGGAAAACAATTTCTAGCAATTTCTAGCTATAATTTCAAAACATACACTTTTCCCTGCAGCTTTCCCAGCTTTTTCTTTTCCATCTTTGACCGTTTTTCTCTTTTTGACATCTTTTCCCGTTGACACCTCAATTGATCTCTTTCTTCGCTGATTGCTAAAAAATTTTATAAATTACTTGTCTAGATTTTTCAGTTTACACTAAATAGCCACAGGAATTGTTAATTTTGAAAAGTTAAGAAAGAGATGATTTAAGTTAAGAAATAGACAGAGATCGTTAGTACATTTAAGCAAACGCAATGCCTCGTGCAGACGAAGCCGAAGCAGACGACAAACAGTGAAAGTAAGCTTAAAGTTTGTGGATCTGTTGTTGCGTTGTCTGTTGTAGCAATGTTGCGAAAGGATTCGGTGAATATGGGTGATATAGTCTCCAGGGTAGATTTGACTGCAGATTCGGAATCAGCGTAAAAAAACTGATCTAGATGAGCTAGGTCCCGTTTCGAAACCCGGTGGTAGCTTGGTGAATCTCCCTCGTCAGCAAACATACTGCAAATGGATCAGGGCAAATCATCTACATTTAGTTAATCCTACTGCTATCTTCTAGTGCAGTAAATCTCAAAAGAAACCTATTGGTGAACATATGATTGTACACATTCTGAATCTCGAATTTCGTTCTCGACATACGCATTTTGCGAGATCTCCTCGTCGTCCTCAAGGAGTGAGTCCACTGGATTTGTGGATGCCGATGGGGAGCACAGCGCACTGACAGCAAGCGGGCAGCTAAATTAACAAGTATTTGTTGTATCCGATTTGGATTTTTAATCGATTTGGATTGAAACATTATTGCACAATAGGGTATCATGTTTTAAATATTTTTAATCATTTTCTAGTCATAGAAGTTTAGAATTCATAGAAATCATAGAAGTTTATCTCTGGCAACCTAGAACAGTTTGCTAGCACCACGTTTTTGCCTAAAAGTCCAGGAAAAGTCCAGTTTAACATGCGTTTTGTAAAGAATGTTGAGGAGTTCTTCTTGTTGAATTACTCGTTGCCTTTCTGGTTCGCTACCGACTTTCCGTCATTCGTCTTTGTGAGAAAGAGTGACTCCCGTGTTTTCGATTGAAAGATGATGCATCACTTCAGATGCATCACTTCAGCAAGTTGACTTCATGATAGTTCATTTTTTGAAGTCTCCAGTGACTCCATCTCCAGTGTTGATTCGCTAAAATTTCTAATTTGATCTACCATCAGCTTGTAGATTTGGGTTGTTGGAATTTGACTTGTCTTTTTTCGTTCCAAGAAGTCATTGAATTTCTCGTAGAATCGATTTGGATATCTGATTTGGATTGAAACATTATTGCACAATAGAGTATAAAACAACAACGTAAAATAGGCGTAAACAGCATAAAAACATAAAAAAAATGCAAAAGCATATCAAAACGGGTAAGTAAACTACTTTTTTTGGCAAAAACGTGGTGCTAACGGACTGTTCTAGGTTGCCAGAGTTAAACTTTTATGAAATTTCTAGAAAATTATTAAAAAGATTTAAAAACATGGTACCCTATTGTGCAATAATGTTTCAATCCAAATCAGATATCCGATTTGAATTGAAATTCAAATCGGGTACAACATCTTAAAGTAAAGTAAGGAATGACAACGAAAGATTTCCGGAAAGGGGATTGAACTCTAGACCTTTTTCCTTGCCTTTTTGCTTTGCCAGGCAGATGCCCTAACCACTGAACTATCCGGTATCTTCTTGCCAGAGGAGAAAGAGGAAATACAAGGGGGAAGAGAAAGAAAGAAAGAGAAGGAAATACCCGTCTCTTCACAACCGTGGGCTACCGCCCTACCTGAAGATCAGAACACGGGCATTAGTATAAAGTAAGCAAAGACTAAGAACTTCAAAGAAACAAACATTTGAGCAAGTGCCCTGATCTTCTTCCTTCGGTAAAAAGGTGGCCATCACCGATGCAGTGGCTGGTTGTTCGGGTTCCGCGGCGTGAGAGTGTCTCCTATCACAAGCGTGTTGAGTGATCGCTTCATCGCGTTCGCGTATCCATGTGATGATGTAATGAGAGATGTTTCCGTCCGCCATCGTCGGCTCATCCCATTCAATCTCAACCTGTATTTGAGGTTTGTAAATTTTCGTAGATGAAGATTTTTTGGATTTTAAATTAAGTGCCATTTTACCGAGTGAGGTGAAAGCGGGGTGACCCTCTTGAAATTCGGCTCATATTTGGTGACGAGGAAGCCAATCTTTGACACGAAATTTCTCGCTCCATCGTGTTTCACAATTCTCGTTTCCACGTAGAAAGCATAACTAAAGTGAGACTTATTTTTTTAAAATCAGTGAATGCACACAAACATTGTATTGGATTTGATCACCGACGAGCTTGAAACGCCGATTGTCTTGGATTGATTTGAAATTGTGGCATCGTCCATTTCCGGCTGGAGAATTCAGTTTGAAACTTTATCATACCGTATTTTCTCTTATATGTAGTAGTGCACCCCAATAGTAGTTGGTGACTATTTTACGATTTCCAAGCTTTTGCAGAAGCTCAACACTCTAATCCCCCACTAGATCTCATCGTCAGCTACATTTTCCGACCCTACATTTTCATTTTCACATCGATAGGTTCTGATAAGCGGTTCTTGAGATTTCGAGCAATTTAGGCGACGCTCAGGGTGCACTACTATTAGAGAAAATACGGTAGCCATTTACTTACCTCAAAACGCATATCCCATGAGTCGGAACAAGCCGATCGGTCATCATCAATTGACATACTGTGATCAATGCTGTGCACCTCCTTGTAGAATACCTAATGAGCTCTTTGTAATCAGAAATTTGATTTGATTTCTCTAAACAAACTTGATATCCAAGGAATTTTCGGGAGTCAAAATCGCTGCCATTCGGACGTTTCCATTCAATGGTGAAACGATTGTGCTCCACCTCGATCTCGTTCACTTCCAACCCCACCTCTTCGCCTAAAAATTGAAATCGTTTAGCAACTGAAACACTAAAATATTTCATTTTTGTTTATCTATCACTCACAAATTGCTTTTTCGCCATTATTATCCGAACTTTGATCATCATTGTCCATTTCGCTTTCTTTTCCGACGGCTTTCATGAAATCGTGAATCCGATTGAAACACAGCATTCGATTGTTTTGAATCTTGAAAATTCTACTTTAAACAAGTTTCATTTTATCTCGAAAACCTGGAATTTCCCCTTCTCGATGGTGATATTTTGACCAGGATTGAATAGCTGGCGAAGATTTTGATTGTCAAAAACGATTAGAGAATATCTAAATGTATTGTGTGTACAGTAAATATGAAATTTTTTGTAGAAAGTGTCATTTCCACGCAAAAATCTTTTGTTTTCTAAAGCTCAAAATACACTAGTGGTCATCTGTATTCATCATATCATCTTTCAATTCGGCTACCTTTGAAGGGAGTAATCTTTGAGAGAAAATTGACTGCGGTACATATGACCACCAGTGCAGCATTGTATTCAGGCTTTAGAAAACAAGAGCTGTTTGCTAGTGTACAAAAAAATTTCGACTGTCGTTTTCTACAAAAATTCACTACTTAGTCAGTTTCTTTCGCCTACTTTTTCTGAAAAGATTCTTGCCAACGATTCGATTGAGACTTTTGAACATGTGAAGACTGATAAAAGTCGGCGAGGAGCGAACGATCAAATAACTGAATTAAATAAGAAAAGTTTAGATTGGGAAACTACCCCTCGATCACTTCAATCTTTCCAAAAGCTTCGGCCAATTTCTCAGGTTTCTCAGAGCCCATTCCACTCCTCAACTCGATCTCCAAATTGCCGGTGATAATCGAACAATCTTTTAAGCTCGAAGCTTGCCTCATAGAATGAACGAGCTGGAAGTTAGGCTATGGATCTTTTTCTCTGAGATTTCAACCAACCTTTCCATCACATCTCTTCGGACAACTTTCTTTACACTTTTGACAAAGGTGTGGGTCTTTTGAATCTAAAGTTAATGTTCTAAAAATCCAATCCAGTTTCATCATCACCTTCTTGATATTCGTCCGGGCATTCAGGCACACATTCGCCATGGATTGTTTTGTGATGAGCCGAGCTGAAATAGAAAAAGATTAGAAAAGAGCGTATGCTTACAATTTTCAAGAATACTGAATACTTACACACTTCGACAAGCCTTTTCGGTGATACACCGTCGTTTGAGGAATTTGAAGAAACCCGGCGGACAGGCGGCAATGCATTTTTCCTCATGTACCACATGGAGACATGAATGACAGGCAGCCGGATCGTTGGCTCGAGAGCAGCCGCCTAGAGTTGGCATTACTTTTTTTGATCTTTATAATCATGCCTGCTTGTAATAGTTTTCAAGCTGTAAATCCTGCCAATACTTTTTACTTACCGATGCATTGTGAATGACACTGTGACCCATCTTGATCCGAGCATCCCGGTCCTGGGCCACTTCCGTTTTGTGCTTTGGAATATGGACATCCTGTAAATTAAACAGGATATCGTCAAGTTGGCAATAATGTCTGTCTTCGCTGTATGTGAAGGCCAGCTTTACAAGCATTGTCCGAGGAAACACAAGGCGCGCAAAGCTTTGCGTTTTGCTGGGATGCTAAAATTGTTGTTCTTACGATTGTTCTTTAAATTTTGATTAAATGTGCATGTGGAACTTAATAAACTACGTTAAAACAATTTCAAAAGGCTTTTTGGTAAAAAACAAAGACCACGATTCAAGGAAAGAGCTGGAAAAAGTGTTTTGCCCATGTTTGGTGATCCTTTCGGTTTTCTTTCATACATTCACCAAGAGCTGAGCACAGATCGAACGCTCTTTCTATGAGACATAGAAGACCAGGCTTACTGTGAGGTGTAGAGGGAGAAAAAGAAGGTGGAACTTTGAAAAAGATACAAAAACATAAGCTCTGCCCCGGCCACCCCTTTCCCCTTTCCATTAGAAGAAAAAGGTGGATGAAAACGCCTGTCCCCGAACGCACAAACACTCATTCTCTTTTGCTCATTTTTCTCCTTTTTTTGTTCTTCTTCTTCTGCACTCTCTCGCTTTGCCTCTTTCTTTTTTTCCGAATCGACAACACCCTCATTAACGCTTGGAATTTGAATTTGAATCTGGGCACTGATAATTAAACAATTTCGACATCTTGGTTTTCCAAGTTCAACCGTCTAGATTTCAGATTTAATTTGAAATGCTTGCCAGGACTTTGAACTTTGAAAAATCTGTAAAAATGGTCAAATTTTTGTAGAAAAGTGATAGAGATGAGCAAAATCGAGAGTCCCCAAATTTTGCATGTCATAAATTGTCTTTTCTTTTGATGGGAAAAGCCGGAAAAAGTGACTGGCAGTCAGCAAGAGAGAATTTGAGAAGGGGAAAAGGGGGCACGTCACGAGAATCCCTCAGCACATTCAATCAAATCAAATTTTGTGAGCGGATTGTATAAGGGAAAACAATCAGATTTGAGTGATCGATCTTCGTGTGGCACCAAAAAACTAAGGACCAATCAATGAAAAGAAATTTGCCAAAGAAAAGTGGTGAATTTTCTTTTTCTAAGCAACCCACCAATCAATTTCTACCACTTTCTACTGAAAACACAAACTGAATATTTAAAAAAGCTCACTTCTTTGGCATGTGGCCGCATTCCAACAAGCGTTTCCATCGTTTATCTTATGGCAAGAACCCTCATCAACATCCAGCTCGCAGTACTCGTCGCAAGAGTCTTAAACGATTCGCATAATAAAATATAGCTATGTGTATTGAGTCTAAGATACCTTTAGTTGCGGTGGGCATCGATGCGTAGTCTTCGACGAGAATGTCATTGATCGACCCTATCACAATCGATTTCCAATCGATCGTCTTCACAAAACATAGATGCGAATTCTCCGTGATCCGCACTCCTCCATTCCTAATCGTCGTCAAACTCGGCAAGTTCACTTCCTAAAAATAAGTTATCAAATCTTGCTTCTACCACTCACAATGAGATCATAGTTCTGAAAGATGATCAACGAGTAGCTCATAATAAGCTCATTTCCGCCGATCACTCGCAATTTTGGGAAGATTCGACTTAACGTGCGAAGGGCACTGAAAAAGAAAATTGTTAACTGAGAAGAGTTTTTAACCATTTAACCTTATCTAATACCTTTTTGCTAAAATAATTAACATAAAACCAAAGAAGAACCCAAGAAAATCGCGCCGGTTTTGATTTGGTAGATTTTATGCGTTTTAGTTGGAAGGAAATTGGTTAAGCTAAATTGGTTAAGATAAATTGGTTAAGATAAATTGGTTAAGCTAAATCGGTTAAGCTAAATCTACGCAGCATGCAAAAAAAAGAATCTAAGACAATGGAGTAGAAGGGACCCGAGAGAAACGAAACAAAACCATTCTAAAAATTTAAACAGAAAACAAAAGTGGAAACAATATAACCGGAAGCGAATTTGGCAAGACAGATAACCTTAAAATGTGCTACAAAAAGGAGGATAGATTTTACAGAAGGAGGAAGACAAATTATGAGAGACACAGCAATAAAAAAACCGCGCAACATTCACGACTACATCGTGGAATAAAGAAAAATGAAAAGAATGGCAAAGGGTAATTTTTGTGCGGGGTACGGTAACGCATCCAGACTTTAGAAAGCGCGCCGCGTCGTTTTCGCGCCAGTCCCTTAAAACCGCACGTCAATAGGAATTTAACCGAAGAAAATAAAGATTTTTGTTGAACTTACCCGACTTGATAGATGAGTAGATAGCCGGTGATCTCGCGGAGGTTCTCGAAGACGACGAACTCGTCCATTGTCGTGTTTGCGCCGATCATCGTGATTGAGAGTGAACCCTCGATGATTGTGCAGTTCTTGCTAAACACTTTCTGTATGTATAGCTATTTATTAGCTCTTAGCTCATTTATTAGCTTTTTAAGCAATTATTAGCAGTATTCTTATTCAACTTACCGCATCGCGAGATCCGTGACTCCATCTTGATCGATCACTCGATGTGGGAAAATTCGAATGTCGAGCTTCGGGCAGCGCACTTCCGTGAAACATGATACCTAGAAACTGGATATATATATATATATGTCGTAGCCGATGAAGGATTTCAGCCGAAGAAGTCTCAAAAATGAAATCTTGAGTTATGTATTGACTCAGGTCAACGCCACAAACTCAAGCTCTCCAAAAGGCGCTTAAAGGCTAAAAACGCATTCTAAAGAGTGCGCATTTTATCATACTATAACCAAAGGCTATAAAAGGGCCCTTTTCGTCATTCGTCAAAGGCACGGATTTAATCGATCTTCAATCCGTTTCCGATGGAGAATTCAAGTTTTTGATGGTCTACCAGGATCATTTCACAAAGTTCGTCGTTTTGCGGGCATTGCAAAGAAAAAACACAATTTGAAGTTGTCGATCATCTAATGGAAATATTCGGAACGTTTGGAGCCCCAAAAATTCTTTAGTCCGACAACAGAAAGGTGTTCAGATTTGGTAACAGATTGGTAAGCTTTTACTTTTGTGTCCTATCGAATTTCTTTATGACGCTTTATTTTGTTTGCTTTTAGGTCAAAGAACTCGTGAACCGGTGGTATTATTGTTTATTTTTGTTTTATTATTGTTTATAAACTCGCTTTTTGGTATTATTGTTTATTTTTGTTGTTTAGTTTGGTCGAAAAATGCAAAATGCAACTGCAACTAGAATGCGTTTTTAGCTTTTAAGCGCCTTTTAGAGAGCTTGAGTTTGTGGTATTGACTTGAGTCAATACATAACTCAAGATTTCATTTTTGAGACTTCTTCGGCTGAAATCCTTCAGCCATTAACGAATGATTCGTTGAGAATTAGCCGATTACGAATGAAATTTTTTCGCTAGCCGTGTACAATTTGTAATCGGCTTCTGTGAACATGGCTCGATTCAAATGAGTTTGAGTTTCAAATGAGATGAATCATTCGTTAACGGCTATACATATATGTTGTATCCGATTTGGATTGAACTCACCGCGGATATCCGATTTGGATTGAAACATTATTTCACAGTAGGGTGTCATGTTTTTGGGATAGGCTACTTTGCGCGAATTTTTTTTGCGCAACTGGGTCATTTTGCGCAACTCGCCATAACTTCCTGTTAAGTGGACCAATCTTTATGATTTTGGTTTCATTTTATAGATCTCAATAAGTGCAACAAAATGAAACCAAAATCATAAAGATTGGTCCACTTAACAGGAAGTTGTGGCGAGTTGCGCAAACGACCCTGTTGCGCAAATGACCCTGTTGCGCAAATAAAATGGCGGAAATTAGCCTACCCCATGTTTTTAAAAGGCTTTTAATCATTTTCTAAAAATTTCATAGAAGTTTAACTCTGGCAACCTAGAACAATCCGTTAGCACCACCTTTGCCCAAAAAGTAGTTTATCTACGCGTTTTGACATGCTTCTGCATTTTTTTTATGCCTTTATGCTGTTTACCCTATTTTACGTTGTTGTTTTACAGATGGAGTTACGCTTCTACGAGAAATTCAACATTCAACAGCTTCTTGAAGCAAAAAAAGACGTGCCAAATTCCGACAGCCGAAATCTACAAGCTGATGGTTGATAAAATCAAAAATTTTAACGATTCAACACTGGAGATGGAGTCACTGGAGACTTCAAAAATGAACTATCATGAAGCCAACTTGCTGAAGTGATGCATTCTTTCAATCGAAAACACGGGAGTCACGCTTTATCACGAAGACGAATGACGGAAAGCCGGTAGCGAACCAGAAAGGCAACGAGTAATTCAACAAGAAGAACTCTTCAACATTCTTTACAAAACTCATGTTAAACTTGGACATGCAAGGGTATGCGTGATTCACGTGATTCACGGGAAGCAAGGTAGTTTTAAATTTTATTTGGTTAACTGATGAGTACATATAGGTCACAGACACTGTACTGGTGAATGTTCGTCAAACCGATGTACTGGTGGATGTTCGTCAAACTGATGTACTGGTGGATGTTCGTCAAACCGATGTGCCTGCGATGTGCCTGGTCTCCGCTGCAATTCCAGATGCCATCACAGTCTTAGTTGCAAGAACAAATAGTTGTTTTTTTCCATGTTTTTCTTTACATTGTCACAATTACATTTTGTTTAGTTACATTGTTTTTATTGTTTTTATCGTTTATAGTGTACTTTCATCAATTTGCTTTTGCATCAATTTTGCAATTAACCAGTTATTTTATTGTTTATGATTATTTTCATTTACGATAAAGTTACCGCTAATTAAACAATTAACCCATTCGAAACCGCAGCGTTTTTACTTTTTTTTTTTTTTTTTTTTGGCTCTCTTTTTATGATTTTTTTGTTGGGGGGATTTTTTTTTTTTTGGGGGAGGGGGGGAGGGGGCTTTCTTTTTTTTTTTTTTTTTTTTGGGGGATTGGGTTGGTTTTTTTTGGTTTTTTTTTATTTTTTTTTTTTTTTTTTTTTTTTTTTTTTTTTTTAAAAAAAATTTTTTGGGGGGTTAATAAAAAAATGGAAAAAGAAAGAAAAAGGATTGGGAGGGGATTATTTTTAAATAATTTTTTTTTTTTTTAAATTGGGGGGGGGGAAGGTAAATATAAGGAGGGGGTGTGGAGGGGGGGGGGGGGGGGTGGGGGGGGTTTTTTTTTTGTTTAAATTTATTATAAAAAAAGAAAATAAATTTTTTTTTTTTTTTTTTTTTTTTTTTTTTTTGGATTTTTTTGGGGATGGTTGGTGGGGATTGGGTTTTTTTGGTTTGGGTTATTTTGGTAAATTAAATATGGGAGGTGGTGAATTAAATTTGAATAAAATTATTTTTTTAAGGTATTTTTTTATTTTTATTTTGTAAGGTAATAAAAGGGAAAAAAAAAAAAAGGAAAAAAAAAGGAAAAAAGAAAGAATATGGGATAAATAGGGGGGGGAAAGAAATTGTTGGGGGGGGGGGGTTGTTTTTGGTGGGGGGGGTTTTTTTTGGGTTTTTGGGTGGGGGGGGGTTAAATAATTAAATTCAAAGGGTTTTTGAATTGAATTCACATTAAAATACAGGACAGCCTTTTTTTTGGGCAATCGGATATATGAGTTCAATCCAAATCGGATGCAACATACACTCTGTCAAAAATTATAGACGCACCCTGTTTTTGCTAGTTTAGAGCCGGATATAAGTGCTAGTCCAGTGAAAAGTATCTTTTAGTTTTTTTAATGAAAAAAAAACAACCCATGCGGAAATTTCAAGTCATTTCACTCATCCAAAGTACTTTATCGTACAAAAAACGTTTTGATCAGCTCTCAAAAAATTATAGACACAACTTAAATTTGACGATTTATTCTATCGATAATTGTTCGTTTTGCTCATCTTTTTGCTTATTAGTTATGTTTATAAATGTTTTTACATTTTCAGATATGCCACTTGGAAAACAACTGGATGTGGTGGAAAAACACGTATCGATGTGCTCCACACGCTTGGTCACTCAAACAGGGACATTGCTCGTCGCATCGGACGCAATAAAGGGCTTTGATTTGAATTCACATTAAAATACAGCCTTTTTTGCAGTATTCTTATTCAACCAAAGCCTTTTTGGGCAATCGGATATATGAGTTCAATCCAAATCGGATACAACATATATGTTCGGAAATTCTTCCGATAAAGTCTATTTTCTCTTAAAATCTATCGATCAATGTTCCCTCTTAATCCTCCTTTATCCTCCATAATCTTTCCGCGATTTCCCCAGACACAACATAGACCTTTCAAAACATTTAGCACTCAACTTTTCGGTATATAAACCCCTCCGGTGCTTTAATAAATATTCTGCCTGAACCAAGGGATATGGACGCAACCTAACCCCAACAATATACTTAAAAATCAAAATTGATACCTGATCAAAAATAGAACTAGAATAAATATGAAAAGCAGGGTAGTAGAAAAATAGGTAGAGCGCTGCCTTCGTCGCGGTCGTCTGATGATGAGCTGATCCAGCGACGTCATCTTCTCCACATTGCTTTTCTTCTGGAAATTCCTTAATAAGCTTTTTTCTGGGCACCTTCTAGAATTGAAATTGATGCCTCAGGAAACTGAAAAAAATTGTCATGACAAATTGCGATGATTCATGTGTAAATGAATCGAAATTTTAAGAAATTTTTTGGCAAATCTTTCAAAAACAACTTCAAAAAAGTGAAAAATTGGAGAAAATAGAAAAAATGGGATTAAATGTGTTTAATCATCGAAAAAAACATATCAAAGATGTGGAAGGGGATGGAATGGAATGGAAAGGGATGGAATGGAATGGAAAGAAATGATTGAGATGGAGAGAGTGGATGAAAGGGTGGGGGCATAATCAAAGCGAGAAATCGCGTTCTTCCTTTTCTCTTCTTTTTCTTCAGAAAGAAAAATCTCGAAAAACAATGTAAACAAGATTTCGCCATGGCTTCATTGGGTCAAGAAGCGTTCGAAACGGGGAAAAAGATTGTACAACAAACAAGCAAACAACAAGCAAACAACAAGCAAACAACAAGCAAACAACAAAACAAAAACAAACAAACAAACAATATCAGTCCGAAATTGTTTGCTAACTTGTTTAGCTCTAGGTTTTGGTTTTGGTTTTGGTTTTGGTATTGGTTCATTCATGTTTTAATGATCAGAACCAGTCCAAAGCTGAATGGTATCAAGATATGAATGATTTAACCTTGAGCTTTATTCAATTTATAGTTGAAGTTAGAAAAGATGATTGAAGATATAAAAGATGATGCTTGATTTTAAATTCTAAAATAATCCTAGATGCTAGGTTTGCTCATAAGTCTTGGTAACAGTTTGTTTAAAAATTTATTCACAACCAAACAAGCAGTTGACTCGAAATAGTTTCCGTTATTTGGAATAACCTTCGACCATTTGTCGTGTCAAGTTGAATCGGAGAGCACCAGCGACACCTGTTTTTGTATGCATTCAACCGAAAACCCAATGCCACACAGGCTCATCGAGAGATTA